CCACTGTCGAAGAAGAAACTCTACCTGGTTTAGAGATGGAAAACAGTGAAGCTGTTAATGAAGTTACTACCACTGATGTGACTGCTACCGATAAAATGGGACATTTCCTGATGAAACAGATGAACCTCACGTGAAGGAGAAGCCAATGAGACTGAGACCAGTATGGAGGAAGATATGTCCTGTAAAATTAAGAGACTTTATTGTATTTTAATTTTGTGTTTGTAAATTCTGTACATTTAATTAAGTTATTGTTAATTATCTATTGGTTTAATACAAGTGGCTATTGCTTGGGATGAACAATACTAAGGAAGGGGCAGTGTTACGACAGCAGAAGTTACGCGACACTGTGAGCATGCGTGCTGGAGATTCTCAAAGGATCACGAATTATCGAGGAACCCCATGAATGTCTGAGTGTTTGCTAGACGGCCTCTTTTTAATATATAAGACTGGCGAGAAAAACCAGTGGGGCAGGTAGATAGAAGAGATAGACTGAAGAGATAGATAATTGAGTCAAGGGAACAGTAGGCACTGTAAGTAAAAGTGTGTGAATCGCTGTGATTCATAGCATGTGCTATAAATGTTGTTAACTTTAAAGTGACTGTGGAAATTCTGTGTATTACAAAGTTGTATCGAGATAGAATAAATTAGTTTTAATTAAAAAAGGACTCGCTGAAGTTCCTCGGAAAGAATTTATACCGGAAATTAACAAACGAGCAGATACGTAACAATATATGTTTTAACTTACTTAGCTTTGATCAATAAATGAACATGTAACTCACTGAGCTCCTGAATAGTAGAATACAAGTGAGAACTCTATCTACTAACACTGAATAAATTTTCTGACACCGAGATCATAACCCATTGAATATCCAATGGATACTTCACTGTAACTGACTGGTACTGAACTCATCTGACTGATTCTTATATTCATAATGTAGATGCCTTCTACTAACTTTACAAGTTTTCCAGATCATTATGTCATGCACATTCTAGAAAATACATAAGTTAAAATATTTAAAAATATAGCTCAGAAATGTTGTGTTTGGAGTCTGGCCTACACTAGGTTTGGAGGTTATGTTGAAAAGTATAATTATGAAATTATGCCAATAAGAAAACGTGGCTGTATCAAACATTTATTAAAGAAATAAATTGTTTGCTATCGTTACGTGCATCGGAATTTACATGCAACAATAGAACTGGACACAACAGTATTAAGATTGACATATCAGCTACTGCAATAAGCTTTATTATGTTATCCACTTAGATTGCATTTATACCGAATCTTTGTGATTGCTTTTTAGTCTCTTTGGTCAGACCTTTGAGAAGACACTTCTAAGGACCAAACAAATGTTTTATTTTAGAAAGTGGTTCCATCTCCATAATATAGAAGTTCATATGAATGCATAAAAAAGAGCTATACCATGCCAACTGGTTATCCATCAGAATCTTGAACAGGACATATAGGAAGGGTCATTTCAGTGAAAAACAGCCACGGCACTTGAAATTCTTTTAGGCAGGATTAGAGTATATTAATCTATGAGACCTTTTTTTTCCTTTTTATTAGCTATATTTTTGTGCACCAGCAATACCAAGCATGGGGGCACGCATATGCCATTCGATTTTATGACTCATCAGGATCTCTACCAGTGTACCCTCAAACTGAAATTATTTTAGGTAGGATTCCAGTAAATTAAGCTATGAGACCTCAGGCATTGTCAAATACATCAATATAAATGGATTGACTTCCTGAGTTAAAAACTGTAATTATATCTCAGATTGGTCAAGAGATGACGGAGCTATAAGCCACTGTGCTGCAGCTTAAATTTTATTAATAGGCACTTTTTGCTTTGCTCTAT